CTGCACTCATGTGCAGGGAGCACCCTCATCATGCCAGGGCTGTAGGGCACGGCGCTGCAGGTCCACAGGTGCCACCAGTAGCCTGCAGACGCAGTTCAGCTGGAGGGAACCTGCCTCCTCCCATGCAGCTCCGACTCATTTACACTCTTTTTTTTTAGAGAATGACTTTATTTAACTTTATTTATTTACTTATTTTAATTTGACCAGAGAGGGACACAGTAAGAGAGAACGAGAAAGAGAGAGAGAGGGAAAGGGAAAGGGAGAAAGCAAGTCACCAGGTTTAGGAATCGAACTGTGTCAGCCACGTGAGAGTCCAACACCCTTAACCACCACGCCACTTGCCGGTCCCTACTCTCTGCTTTCAAACGCAGCAGTCCCTATGGCCAGAGGCAGGCGAGGCTCCATGGTGGGATCATTTTCAGCGTTACTGCTGCGGCATTTAATGCCGGGCCATAAAACAAAACAGCCTCTCCCTGCTTCCTGAGAGAAGCCTGTGTCACTCGGACAGCGCGGACACATGTCATCACCCAGAGGGACAAGGAGGGGGCAGGGGTAGCAGTCGTTCCTGCCGGATCTGGAGACAGCTCGCCAGGCCCACAGGTCCGTCACCAGCAGGCCAAGGCCGCTGCAGTGGAGCCCTGGGTGCCACAGCCTTCTGCAGCTGAGGTTCGCAGCCCGAGCTCTGCCTCCGGACATGCGCAGAGGTGTGCTGGCTGTCCAGCACTTGAACCCTGCCACGGGCTCCCTCCAGGCCTCTAAGAGGAGCACCCTCCTGAAGATGTGCAGCTGCAGAGGTGGGGCCCGCACAGGTGCAGGGGCATAGCCTGGGAGCTCCCCATGCCTGTCAGGGCAGCAGCGCCTATCTCTGAGGGCAGAGCCAGCCATCGACCCCTACAGGGGTTCCCCTTTCTCGGAACTCGAGGTAAAACTCAGGGCTGCGGGGATGGCCGGCACAGGCCACTCGGTCCAGGAAGCAGCGCCTCCCTCCGCCCTCAGGGGCTGGGTGTCTAGAGGAGGTTCTGGGCTCCTGCAGAAGCGGGGCTACTGCATTTGGTCTGAATGTGCTCCCCAGATCCACATGCTGGATCTCAAACCTCAGTGCAGCGCTCAGAAGGGGGGCCCTGGCCAGGGTACCGTCAGGAGGAACTGCACCCTCACCAGGGGGACAGCACATCTGGCCCCCAGACCTTGGCTTCTAACCGCCACATTCCGCTGAAAGGCCTGGGCTCCTCGGAGAGGAACGGGGCAGGAAAGGAACTCGAGGAGGCAGGAAGCAGGGAAGTGCTTGGGGAGGCGAGGGGCCCGCCTGAAGGGCGCCTGCCAGGGTGGAACATCAGCTGCTGAGTACAAAGCACACCAGGGCTCACATCAGAGACAGCAACATGGAGGGGAGTATTTACATGGCCAAAGCACCACTTCCTGGAAACACTTAGCCACCACAGGGCTAACTGCAAGGCCCAGTCCAGCAGCCGCACACCCAGGAGCGCGGTCAGTCAGCGCTGTCCCAGCCAGGGCCCTGAAGGAAGCGCTTTGGAGCTCCTGCCCCAGCGACACAGCCTGAACTGAATGAGCGTGAGCTGCAGGCCTGGCCGGCCCACAGAGGTCAGCCGCTGCCCCTGTCAAGGGCACGAGAGCCCGCTTCGGCAATGCAGGACACTGAGCAGGAGCCTCATGCGACAAAGGACGGCCCTGGGAGAGCGGCAACCCCAAATGCAGCCAGGCCCATACGGCAGGACGGCTCACTAAAGGCTGCACTGGGACCCTCAGGGAAGGAGATCCCGGCCTGAGGAGGTCGAGGTACCGGCGCAGCACCCAGCAGGACGGCGGAGCTGCACGCCGGCCGGGCCGCACGGGAGGCCCGGGGTCAGTCCCGACCTGACCTGAACGGGCGGGCTTGGGGCACGCCTCTGACCCTGCCCAAACACTTCCTCGTGTGAATGCACACACGTGCACTTGCACGCACTCTGGTGGTGATGGAGCAGCACAGCAGCAGCCTCCCCAGAGAGTCTGAGTCCCTGGTACCGCTCCTGCAGGAGAGGACAGACAAAACGGGGACCTCGAGACCCCACTGCAAGCCGCTGGATTAAACCTAGGATTCTATTTTCTTTTTATTTTTTTAAGAGAGATTTTTTGCTATCTTGCCAGAGAGAAATAGAGATACAAAGCGAAAAATCAACCCCCCAGGGGGGATGGCCATGCAGCAGCAATCCCTTCTCCTCCAGTCTCCTCTCAGGACTTTGGGTATGGATGCCCCCAGGCCCAGAACAAGTTTTAAGCCACCGGGTCCAGGACTTGAACCGCAGTCGACTACGTGGCAATCCAGCAACATAACCGTTACGCCCTCTGCTGGTCCTGGACTCTATGTTCTCAAATTGCACGGTTAAAACCACCATCACCAGGACTAGGCCTACCCACTTTTTAATAAAGGCCAAAGAAAACCTTTTTAACTTAGAGAAAACATAAGCCTTCCTGAACTCAAAACCAATTTGAAAGTATTACAAAATAGATTACATCACTAAAGTGCTGGAAACAATTTAAAACGCAATATTAAAAAACCTATTCATTTGCTAGATCTTTCACACCAAGAAGGAGTAAGGAATTCTCATTTTCATTAATGCTGCATAAATACTGATCAAACAGACTGTGGGGGAGGGTTCCTTTGGGCTTTCAGGGGTGGGGGTGCAAGAGATAAGCCTTCGCAGGCCCACAAAGTGCAGCTCTGCCCTCAGCCAGTGCCACCCACACAATCCCAGAGGACTGGTGCATCCCTGGAGCACACACAGGGTTCCAGTGATGAAGGCCTGCTCTCAAAACTGAGCCCAAGAGTAGTTAAAGCAGGAGAGCAGAGAAAACCAGTGATTTTACTCGGCTGTGACAAGGAGTAATTGAACTGGGAATTGTCAGCATGGCTAATAAGGTCACAGGAGAGCGCAGTGAGCCGGGAAAATCAGCAGCCGGAAACGCCGCTCCCCCCCGGAGTCCGGGAGGCTGCAGGACAGAGACTATGGGCCCACCCGTGGACGCGCATTGCCACATGGTGGTTATGCCACACAGGAGGCCGTTCAGGCCCAGCCCAACCCAAACAGGCTGGTCCGTGGCATCCACGTGTGGGTTTAGCTGGTGGGAGGTAGGACAGGAGGAGCCAATGTGGTGGGACCTTGTCCAAAATACCACTAGGAGCCAGCCAGTGGCATACTAGTGAAGGTAGTTGAACCGCACATGGCCAACTGCATGGTCCAAGTCCCCGACCCGGCAGCGTGAAAATCATGCCAGCCGCGTGTGCGTACTTGCACAAGATCCCAAGAGGAGAGGGAAATGGAGAACCAACTGTGGTGTGACCGTTCTTATGGAGGGTGCTTTCTCACTTGCCCCCATTCCCTGGTGAGCACATGTACCCTATAGCAAAATTTTAAGAAATACCACTCTCTGTCTCTCTCTCTTACACACACACACACCCTAAGACGCCCGGGATAGTGGTATAGGCAAAAAAAAAAGAAAAAAAAAAGAAAAAAAAAAACCACTTTCCTCCCCCCAAATTAAAACAGTCCGCGCTTGTTAGACTGCTAGAGGGAACTCTTGCTAGGACAAGGAGGCTAGAGGAAGAGCAGCCTCCGTCTTTCCAGCAAGGCCAAGGTGAGCAGTAGGTGCCTTCCTAGCGTCCCCATGCCCACCAGAGCGGAGACAGCCATCGTGGAAACGACTCCACGAGGCCTGCCCCTCCAAGAGAGACGCGACAGCCCGCCCCCACAGAGACCACGCTGTGTCAGCACAGCCGGTGGAGCAGGCAGGCCGCAAGAACAGGAGCCGGCACAGGAGGCCTCACCTCCCAGTGCTCAGGAAGGGGCCTGTGGGCAGACGTCTCCTGGGCCTGCCCCCAGGGGCTTTGGCCTTGAAGGGCTCCTGGGAGGGCCAGCCAGGCTGCTGTGACAGAGGGCCCCCTCCACCTTGCCCAAGGGCACTGTGCTCAGTGAGGGGGCCAGACACAGGAGGCAAATACCATACAACAGACCAGAGCTCCGACAGCGAGTGAAAGGGCATCTCCTGGGAGAACGAGGGAGTAAGAACAGGGTTCAGCCTGGGTGGGGACTCAGCCCTAGAGGTGGATGGCGATGGCAGCAGCAAACAGCATGACTACCTAATGTCACTGAGCCATCACTTAAGGACCCAGGCTGACCCTAAAGCCCAGGGCTGGCCGTGCGTGCCTGCAGTCCAGCAGGGGGGAGGAAGGAGGACTGCAACGGTGAGACTCCATCTTTAAAAAAAACGACCGTAATGCCGTTACGGAAGGTACCTTTCGCCACAACTGGAACGAAGAGCAAGAGCGCTATCTGCACGTAACGCAGTGCGGGTGCGGGGCCACTTGGCCAGTTACTCGCCTGTCTCTGGTCCTCAGCTCTGAGATGGGGACTGGCAGGAGACCCCACTACCCAGAGCTGCTGCAGGGCTAAGGTCGCTGGAAGTGCCCACGCAGGACCTCCCACACAGCGGGCACTCGGCAAACAGCAGCCACCGCAGGACGGTCTGCCACGCATCCTGCGACCGCCCAGCGAACAGTGGTTCCATCTGCCTTTCCTGTCTGCATGTGGGTAGGATCTGATGCCTTTTTTATTGAACGTGTACGAGGTTACTTCACAAAGGGTGGGAGAAAAAGAATAACAGTATTACGTTATTTTGGTGTGAAAAATTTTTAAATGCACACGGTCTTTTTATAATACACACTTTCATGAACTTCTTGAAGGCCCGTCACATACAGCGACTCTTCATATCGGACACGGCAAAATCAAAGGAAAGTGAAGGTAACCCAGTAGCCCTTAGCGGTTCATTTCCCTTGAACTCCTTTCTCCATTACCAGTCACAGGTGAGCACATCTGAACTAACAGGTAAGAGAGAAAATCCTCAGGTTTCCCCCGACTGGAGATGGCCCCTGGCTCAGGAGAGCTGCCGGTCTACCCAGTCAGAGCCGTGGCACAGGCGAGAGGCGGAGGGTGATGGGCACTCACCAATCCAGCACTCCAGACGCGCACAGGGGGTGGTCTTCACCACATCTGGAGGGTCCACACCAACGTTCAGGCACAGCACCAAGGCCACGCTGACTGTCTTCATCTGCGAACAACAGGAGAGCGGCTTTCAACGTAGAACTCACAATCCCTTCTCCTCGTTGTCAATGTCTCCCCCACTCTGCCCTTTGGCTGTTCTTTATTTATTTTTTTTTAGTTAATCTGCCAGAGGGCACATGCACAGGCCAGAGAGACAGAGAGGGAGAGGGAGAAAGCACCCCCATAGGGAGTGGCCACACCATTATCCCTTCTCCTCCATTTCTCCACCCGACTGGCATTTGGGACACACACACACAGCTGCTTATGAAGCCGCCAAGCCCAAGATTCAAACCGCCCACAAAGTCGGCCATGGGGGACCCGGCTCCACTAAGCACCATGCCGGGGGCCAGCCCACCGTTCTATCAACCAGTCACTGTGCAACCCTTGTGAGTGTACAGACAGCTTTCTCCTTTGGAGATGGAGTTTCAGAGTGAGGAGGGCGGATGGTGGGGGTACGCGGCAAAGTGAGGCTTTGCTCAGGCTTCCTTAGGGTAAATGCTGGAAACAGAAAAATTTGATCACAAGATAAAGATTTTATGGCACTTCATACATTCTACCAAATTCCTTTGCAAAAATCTGCACAAGTGCACACTCCCAGCAGTCTATCACTGTCTCTGCGACCTACAGCCACTGCCCGTTAGGTGAGAAGGCTGCCCTGCTGCCGCAGTCTGTGTGTGCGTGGTGGGTCTCTCGGCGGTGCACTCTCTGTCTCGGCCATCTCTCGCAGGCCAGGCACCCGTTTCTACTGCAGCAACCCAACACCTCAGGGTGCTTGTGCCCGCAGTGCCACGTGCAGTGCGACCTGGCCAGCTCTGACGCGTCCTCAGTCTCCGTAGGAATACCCATTTCTCAAGGCCTGCCCTAAGGACCCTTCACGCTCCCTGCCAGGCAGGCAGAGCCACACCCGGTAACCACCACAACTGCGCAAATCTGTCTACACCCCAGTAGACGGGCCAGCCTCCCAGAGGACACAGCCCAGGGCCCACTGCCACGAGAGGAGCAGGACGAGTGCTCTGTCCCGGCCTGTTGGCCTCGCTTCTGGCCCGTGACCCACCTGGGTGCCGTGCTGCCTGTAATACATATGAGGGCTTCTGGCCCGTGACCCACCTGGGTGCCGTGCTGCATGTGATACACATGAGGGTTACTTTTTTTTTCTTTAAAAAACAACAAAACTAGCCAATGGGTCAATCCCCATTAAGTAATCTCCCCAAACTTCCAGATTTGTAGGGAACTCTCGACATATATTAATTCTCAGATAGACCAAATTCTATCTCTGGGCAATCAAATTTATCCCATTGGCCTATCAACCAAAACTTCTACTGGTACCACAGCAGTTTAAATAATTCCATAATATTTGTGAGGGCCACTCCCGGGGGCTTTTGTCTTTGGGGCTTTTCTGAAACAGTCTCGCTATGTTCCCCAGGCAGGCCTTGAACGCACAACCCTCCTGCGGGGTCAGAGATTTTATCTTTTAAAAAATTAATTTTACTTAGTAATTTGATACCTATTTTTCTTAAGTTTATCAGTTATTTAATCTTTTCATTGGGATTGTGGGTAAAGCTGCATGAAACATGTAAGTTAAATTTGGTAAAAAGTAACATCCACAAAATAATAATCTACTTTCTGACACAGAACACAGTAGGGCTGTCCCCAAAGCCCTCTCGTTCTCCTCAGGGGTGCTTTCATGGTCTGCTTTACCGATAAGCCTCACACACTGCTTCTTCCCTCTGCTGGATGAGGTCCTCCTGCCTCGGCCTCCCGAGTGACAGGTACACTGTGCCCACCTTCCAGGGTGGACTGGGACAGAACCGGGCCGGGTCTGCCCTGCGGCCTCGGCTCCCGAGCTGCAGGGTCTTCCAGCATGTGCTCCACGCTGGGCCTCCTGAACACTTCCTGTCGAGGTCAGTCTTAGGCCAGCTGGTGGCAGGTGGCTGAGGTGTGGACACCTGCAGGGCTGACCGCAGTTTGAGTTCTGAACCTGGAGGCTTGAAACGCATACTGGGCATGTCTGCATGTGTGCCCAAAATCCCAGGAGAATGGAGGAGAGGATATTAAGATGTGGCCATCCCCCCAAGTGGGTGACTTCTCACTTTCCCTCTCATTATCTCTCTCTCTGGAGAGTATACACACCCTATGGCAAAAACCTGTAAAAAACAAAACAAAACAAAAATCTTAAATATTTCATGGGTATTTGTGAGAATTACACATATTTCCTCATAACTGTTTCTTAGTACAAACTGCTGATATGTAAAAGAACGCCTAGTCGCTGACTTCTCCACGGAGCGCACTGCTTCTCGGCGGGTCCCCCAGGGCTACACTGGCGCACCCACGGCTACACCGGCACATCCCCGGCTACACGGGCACACCACCAGCGAGCAGCTCTCAGCATGCCTCATCTCTCGCCCAGCACCCTGGGCTCCTGTGTTCGGGCTACTGGACCGATCAGCTTCCAACGCTCTGATGACGACGAGGCAGTAGAGGGATCTTGGCACTTGGTCTTAATGAGACGGTCGTAAACGTGTTCGCATTAAGTATGGTGGTGACTACTGACTTCTTTTTTTTTTTTTTTTTTGGAGAGATTTTCACTGTAGGGCACGTGCGCTCGCCAGACAGACAGAGAGAGACATAGAGACAGAAAGTGAGAAATCACCCCCCAGGGGGGATGGTCACGCCGCAATCCCTTCTCCTCCATTCTCCTCTTGGGATCCTGGGCACGCACGCACACGCGCCCGGTGTGAGTTTTAAGCCACCAGGTCCGGGACACGAACCGCGGTCGACTACATGGGAGTCCAGCGACATAGCCATTACGCTAACTGCTGGTTCCCGTGACTACTGACTTCTGATCAAAATGGAATTAAAAGCTACATGGAAAAAGGAAGTATTTTAGACCTTCCTTTCCCCACAAAATAATCATTTCTTAAGGAACTACACCTGTCTCCATAGAAAGACTGAAGAGAAAAACCGTACCCCTCCACAGGAAGGCACCAGAACCTTCTCATTAGAACCCCAGGAGACAGGAGTCCCCTTGGACACTGGCCAGGAGGAAGGGCTGAAAACGCCATGGAAACGCGGCCAAAGTCCCTGAGTGTCAGCTCCTGTGTCCACACTCGCCATCCACAATCCCGGCCAGCTGATGGAGTATCTCAGAGCAAACCAGCCTCTGAGGAGAAACCACTGAGGACCGACTCTCTGTGGACATGTTGCCGTGGCTGTCCCGGGCCATATGAACAGCTGCTAACACCCACTCGGCAATGGTTTCAAATCAGGACCACTTCCTCCTCCTCCAGAACACGGCCCGTGGTCCCACGAGGCTGTGCTCGAAATCCTGGAGCAAACCCAGGGCCCCCGGGAAAGAGGCTGGCTCTGCCCTGTTCACAGAGAAGCACCTACACAGACCACGACCGGGCTTCTGGTCTCGTGGCCTGTGAAGTGCATCCCACCACAGTGTAACTAAAGGGTTCCCAGCCGGCTTCTTTTCTTCTCGTCTTTCTTTTTTGCTATAGGGCATGTGTGCTGCTAGCCCAAGAGAGACAGAGAGAGGGAGAAATCACCCCCTAGGAAGGATGGCCACACCACAATCCCTTCTCCTCCAGTCTCCTCTCAGGATTTGGGTCACATATGCCCACACACCTGGAGTGATTCTCAAGTCACTGGGTACAGGACTCAAACCACAGGGTTGGCCATGTGGGGTCCAGTACCTTAACTTCTATGCCACCTGCTGGCCCCAGATGGTTTCCTATTTTGCCTTAAATCTGCAGAGAGCACCCATAACTGATGCCCTTCCCTCACACAAAGTCCAGGGGAAGAAGCAGTAGCAGAGGCACCATGCTCCTCCAACCACAGCCCACGGCTGGCCGCCTTCCTCCCAGCACCCGCACCCCACCCTGAGTGCCCAGAGAAAGGGAGCGGGCCCACCGCTCTGGGCCCACACGGCTCAGCGGCACTGGGTGACGTGTCCCACGGCCTGCTCACCCAGGAGCTGCAGCCAGGTTCCGGCCAGCCCTGCTGACTCTCCAGGAGTCTGCGTCCCGCAGTTTGAGTGGGGTGTGCTTTCATCCTTCCCTGCAGGCTGTCAGCCAGCTGGGTGTCCCACCGCACTGAGGCACCCAGGGAGCAAGCAAGCAGAGGCCGCTCCCCAGCTTGCCCGGCTGTGGCTGGGGGCCGGAGGCGGGGCACTCCCGACAGCTCCCTCTTTATTCACTGCTCCTGTCTCCTCCACCGGGCTGCATCACCCTAGGCGAATTCCCCCCTCCACCTGTACTACTTCAATAACGAGTCAGAAAAAAATAACGGCCATAAACGAGTTCTGAGTTCATAATAAAAACCACTGGGCCAGGAGGCAGTGTGGAGAGTAAAGCGGCTGGATCCTACACGGCCAACTGCGGGGCTCCAGTTCAGGCTGGCCACTTGAAAACCAGGCGGGGCCGTGTGCACATGTGCCCGGAGCCTGAGCGGAGTGCAGGGGAAGGGGCTGCGGGGCCTTCCCCCGGGGCGAGCTCTCGCTCTCGCTCTCCCCCTTCTCTTTCTCTCTGTGTCTCTCCTGCGCCCACATGCCCTATAGCAAAACTGAAAAACCAAAACCAAAACCAACTTGGTAGTGGGGGTGGGGGGTGGGCGATGACTCCGCATAAAACAAACCCCGCAAGGCTGGCTCACAGGGAAGGTTCCGGCTCACACCCCGAGACCTCCCAGGTCCCTGGCACGCGTGTGCCTGTGGTCCGGGACAGACTGGGGGCCCTGCTGAGGGTGCTGGGACGTCTCGCTCTCGCTCTCATTCGTGAAAGTAAACTTTAAAGGAAAAATGTTTTTCTGAAGACCTCTGAGTCCCTTAGACAAAAATACTAATAGAAGCCTAATAATGGACGCTCCCGCCCTGGAGACAGCGGGCTCTCCTCGCCCGCCTGTCACCGGAGGTCTCTCTCCCTCGCCCCCCATGGCCCCTCGGGCAAGACTTCTGGGCTGTGCTCACAGGAGCAGCACACAGGCGGCGCCAGGTGGGCGACCTCC